AGAATTTAAAAATAGAATACGAGAATCTATTCTTTTCACATAATTTTATTTGATATTCATATCAACCTTGAAAATAAGAACAAAAAAATGTATTAAAAAATACATCAGAAAAAGCTCCTAGTTCTAGCTTGAAATAGAGTGCTTTAGAAACCAGGCAATCCTGATATTATATTAATAAGAATCCCCGCTATAAACCAAACAAAGAAGACACATTGGCCCAGTATATCGCGCTCAAGAATAGGAACGGGGGGACAAGTTGTATGCACATCTTACCTCTACCCCAATAAGTAGAGATGTTATTTGTGAGAGGGAACATCCAACTATGACTCTACAACTCTAATATGTTGTATCCAAGACCTTCTTCCAAAGTTCATGTCCTTAAAGAGGTTTAAGGACATGATCAAACAACGGACTAGTTCCTGTCCTAACTAGTGTAATTGTGTCTTGAGACTGTCTTCACAATGGACATGATCAAACAATTGCCTTCTATAGTTGATACATAATTGTACTTCTTCTAGGTTCTAACTTAGAACAGAACACCTCATTTGGATTCGACATTCTGACTATCAAGGTACGAACCATATGACGACAACTCTACCACAACATACTCATTTCTGCAACTTCCAACTTTTGCTTTAATGCCTTCATCATCGCACAGCACACAGAATCATACAACATAGCTCGTCAAATGAAAACCTTTTACAATAACATTCAATTTCAACTGATAGGTGGTCCTCCATTTTAGCCAATGTACCTTAACTGTGACATAGTCCTCTATCCTTTTGGATGTTGAGATTCTAATAAGTAACCAATCTATGTTTTCCTTGTGGCCCATTTTTATTAGAGCTGCCATTCAAATTGACCTCAAACTGGCATGCCATGTTAAATGAATCTCAACAGATGCTTAAGTAATGCAAAAAGGTATGAAATTTTACTGATGTAAAAATTGGCTGGATAACTTTGACTCTTGCCAGAGAGAAGAAAAACTGAGTGCAACTAGGCAGGAAGACATAGGGATAACTCATGAGTGCCCATCGCCTTTTGCCATACTTTAAAAAATTAACTTAAAGGAAGCAAACAAGTAAATTAATACTAGAGCCTAAACCATAAATGAAGTCGCTGGTCACGGTTCAATGAGCTAAACAGCTATTTGATCAAAGGATTCAACGCCGTAAATAATTAAAATATTGAAAATTACCAATCCTTGGATCATTGAGAGCTGGCAAACTGTAGAACTTTCCGAATTCTCCACCTCCTGGCTTGGGAAGACTGGTAAAGATTCCTTTGTATGGATTCACAGATGCTGATGCCATTAACACACGGTGTAAGATTTGTGATTATATTTAGTCTAACCAAATTTCAAACAGCAATTTCAAGTTTCAACCGCACTAAAAATCAACTGTCTTGGAAATATAATAATTCCAGGCAATTACGACACACATAGAAATATACAGTGGTTAAGATTTTACTGGGATAAGAGAAAATATCAGCAGCCAATATATTAATAATAAAAAACACATCATGCTGCATTTAACATTGAAAATGTATTTATTTTATATATTTAATTATTAAAAAATACATCAAATCGAGATACAAAAGGCATGCACTACGAAATGAACAATCAAATTAACGTACTATAAAACGGAGTAATTAAAAGCGCTGAAAAGACAAAGTACCCATGGAAGCGATCTTCCGACGGAACTCCGTGAAAACGGGAGCTGCGGTTCTGATCTGATATGCGAGGCCAACAGGCGATTTCCAATCACCGCCGTGGCTCAACCGCGGCGCCGAGCAACGCAGCGACCTAAAAGTGGAAGCGAAACTCAGCGGCCGAAACTGGCGCTGGTAGAACGCGGCAGCAGCAGAAGGCCGGCACGGCGAGAACGCTGACGAAGGGAAGAGCCTGTTGGGCCGGCACAGGGAGGCGGAGGAGACGCGCAAGAGCGAGCAGTGATTCATCTGACTGCGTGATTGTGTACGCTTTGTGTATATCTATGGACGAGAATGAGCAGAGATTGGGCAATGAAATGGAGACGAAGGCGTGTGGAGAGCATATGAAGAGGTCAGGGAGGCTCGGGCCGTGCTTCTTGTAGAAGGGAGAAAGCAGAAAAGTCTGATTCAGTGTTCGATGGAAGCGGGCGGAAGGCTTCCCACTGGGAAGGTCAGATTTGGACCGGCATGATTTGGTGCTATAGGCAGCCCAGTTTATTGAGTAACCTCATTTGGTAATAGTGGGCTTCCTGGGAGAAGGTCCACACTCCACATACATAAATATCGTAAAAGTTGAGATTTTGCAATAAAAAAATGTATTTGTAAAATCATAAAAAGTGGGAGAGAATTCAGTTGGATTTGTTAGTCATGCTATAGAGTCAATGTGATTTTCAACACGATTATAATATTTAGGAGCTGTTTGTTTCAGCCTCTTAATGGTTCAGATGTCTGAATGGTTCAGCACTTAATGGTTCATACTGTTTGTTTCAGCCTCTTAATGGTTCAGATGTCTGAATGGTTAAGATATTTGCCTCTGAATGGTTAAGTATTATACAGAGTCTGAATGGTTAAGACCTCTTATCTGAATTGATCAGACATTTGCCTCTGAATAGTTAAGCAATATACTAGCTCTTAATGGTTCAGACATCTTATTAGTTCAGCACTTAATGGTTCAGACCTCTTACTGGTTCAGCACTTACCTATTCAGAAGTTGCCAAACAGCCCCTTAATATTATATACAACACTGATAATGGATCATCTGGAAATAGTCATTTTATGTTTTAAACATAAAGATCGGGTTGTATACATATTACCTCTTCTTGTCCTCCGATGGGCAAGAGTTTTTGAGGCACTAGGTAATGTTGTAATTTATCAAAAGATATAAATAACACTAAAGTCACCTTTAGTCAGTCATGATGGATTTAATTTAATTGCATAAATTCATAGTATAGATGTCAGTGGCATGTTGCCTCTAATGTATTGCATTACTCATATCAATGAAGTGCCTCTCGAGATCGAAGGAGCAAAGTAGACTAACCATAGCTCGAGAACGAATGTACAGAGCACGACGAAATGAGCAGTTTTAGTGAAGAGTAATTTCTTTGCGTGTGTTTATAAATGAGGTAGAAGACAACTCAGAAATGGCAAAAATATAAGATGTGCCAACCTTTCAATTAGGGCAATGTTAGAAGAACGCCAAAATGAAGTACTTTATTTGTACACAAAGCCTTCACAGACACATATAAACACGTAATGTATGTACATGAATAGATATTATGGATCACAATTTTTAGGGTGGGGGGGGGGGGGGCTAAATAGTTCTTAGCTTTCCCATTGGAGCACATATTTGAGATGTTACTGTAATACACTAATCCGTCCATTTCTGCAACCCCTTTCAGACTATAGTGTTAGCTTGATAACGTAAAAATTTTAAACATTTAAAAACTTTATTTTATCAGATCAATATTATTTTAGACATCATTAGAGTTCATGAAAATATGCGAAAGCTTAAGTATTTTGTTTCAACAACACAATAAAACATAAATAGTTCATTCGAATAAATATTTATTTGAGCATGAGAATCACACATCCGTCCACCATCGCATCCCCAGCTGCCTCCACGATCCACATCATCATTCATTATTTTTGTTTACTTGTGTTTATCAAATAAAACATACTACACGCTCAATGTTAAAGTTGAGTGACGATATCTAATGCGTCGAACATCCACATAAATAAAATTACAATCCATAACTAACTCATTTGGTATCATGCACATAATATTTGCTTTAAGTATTCAATAGTCATAATATCAACAGTACTCTTAAATTATTCTCAGTTCAAGGCTAAATCATAACAATGTTCTTAAATTATTCTTAGTCTAAGGTCAAAACATAACAATGCTCTTAAACTATTCTTAGTCTAAGCCTGATTTATATTGATAAACATGCTCTTAGATAGATTTTCTTTATAGCTAAATATTGAGTGTAGGTTTAGGATTGATGTTGTAATCCAAGATGGTTAAGTATTACTTGCACTAATTATTATAGTGGTGGTTTTACCTTTTTAAAGAGAGTTTTTACCGATAACAATCTCTGGTCTCATCTTCTGTTTTGGCTTGCGGTTTCTCTTTGTTCTTGGACTACTAGTTTGTTACTTCAATTGCGTGGGAGTTTTGTACCAAATATCCTAGCACATACTCCATCCGGCCCGGAGTATTCGTCCATTTTTTACTTTTGGAACTGTTCATCTAAGCATTTTGACTCATCAAATTATCTCAATGCGTAAGCCTAAATAAAGTCATGTGTGATTTTATTTGATTTGTCTTAACATATACGTAGTAGATTATTAATATATAATTTCTATAATTTTTTAATATACAAATTAAAAGATAAAATGGATTAAAGAAGTGTATTGGATGGTGTGTAAAAATAAAAGTGGACAAATACTCTGAGACGGAAGTAGTATATACGAAAATATTTGAAATATACTAATCTTTCTATATTTATTCATTAAATAATAAGTTTATTTAATATGTTTATTTCAATTTTATTATGCGTACATTATTCTTTTATTCAAGTTTTAAATTTTTGTTGATGAATTAAAAATACTAACAAGCATTTGAAATGCTATTTTGTTATCATTTATTTTTTTTAGTTTGTGAAGTATAAAATAAATTTTTTAAGACATTCTTGAATTTTATTACAATTTTCAATTTTTGTAATGTTTCTTTATTTAAATGCATTTTTTATTTTGAAAATAAAGGGTTTTGGATCATCTTAAATTATAAATTAGGTACATATATATTTACACTGATTTGTACTGAAATCAATCGCGAACTATCCCGAATCAAAATTTTGGAATCAAGATCGGTACGATGTAAAATTTTATATCAAATTAAAATATTTGATACAGTATCAGTACAAAGTAAATATCTTACATGCTTACCTATATTTGAAACTTACGAAGTAAAATTAGAAAAGTCAAGAATGGCATTGTTTTTTTTTTTTGAAAATATCATTGATTTATGAAAAAAAAAATGTACCAAAAAAAAAGGAGCCCAAACGGCCAAACCCTAGAAAACTTAAAAAACTGCGAATCTCGCGCCGCTTCCCTCTATTTCTATTTTGAAACGAAACCACGCCATCCCCATTTTCCGCTTTCCCTCCTTCATTATCCCGCCAATGCCCCCCCTACTATTTTCCTCATCCGTATTATAAACCCATCTTCTCTACTCATCCCCCCCATCGTTTCTATCTCCATCCCTAATCGCAGTCGGATCTTCATCTCACTGTTTCGCCGCCGTCTTCCGCCATGGGCCGCCACTCCAGGATTACATTTCTGCAAGCCGATGCAGCACCAGCGTCTTATCTCAGGTACCTGAAGCCCGGCGCGCTCGCTCGTCTTAGAGATTCGCGGATCAGCGCAAGGAACCACCGTGCAGTCGGTTCTCGTCTCCCGATCTGTTCCGTTCACGATTCTCCGGCTGCTCCGACTCACATCGTTCCTGGCGACGGTTTTCCTTGTTCTCCGGTCCGGATCCGCGGCCCGCGATGTCCTCAGAGGAAGAAACTCGTCGCTGCCAAGGCGGCGTTCTTCTCGATCCCCGTCCCGACTAGCCCTGTCTCGCAGCCGCACGAATCGGCCGTTGACTTGTTCAGCGCCGCCAACAGCGACAGCGCTCTGGTTGCGCATTGAAATGGTATGTTTACAAACAGGAAATTAATTACAGTAATTAGTTAGGGCGCAATTAAGTGTCGAAATAAGCGTCATTAGGTTTTTTATTTCAGTCGGCAGAATTAAATCTGCCATTGATGCGTGTAAATCGTTCTGGAATTGTATTTATTGAACAATTAAAGTGTTTTTACATGTAATAAATGATTAATATTAGTTTAAGTATATTAATGGGCGGCACTTTCCCTAGTCAAAGATATACTAATTCACATTCTAGATCTGGAATCAAGGTTTTGTAAAGCGTTGATTATTAAGTTGATCTGTGTGCTTCAATTGAGTTTATGCATTTTATTTGTTCATGTGTGATCAAATTGCCAGGATGAATATTTTGCAGAGTCGGATGAAAATAAGTAGCCAGTAAATTTTGGTTTTGTGTTTCTAGTGTGTTAGCCCAAGAGGTGTGGACTCAATGACGAAGTCGGGGAAGTCGATGCGTCAACGGCGGGATTTTGAAACATTGCTCCCCTTTCCATGGTTTAGAGCTGCCATGGCTAAATGAACATGTAAACCAACACATATTTTTGCACCCTCTTGGTCAAATAAATGATTGTTTATACACAATTTTTATCCGAAATAGTTTCAACATTAAATTTTACATTTTAAAATTTATATTTAATAATGGTGTATTTAGTTTTAATCTCTCTAAAGTTAATTTGCATTATTAAAATATTAATCAAATGATAAGTGAATTGAATTGATTCCCAAATAAAATTGTATGGAGTAATATTAAAAATTACTCTTGTCTTGACTTGTAGTTAGTGTATATTTGTGTCTTAAGGTTTATATTTAGAATCCGTTTGGAGGGAGAAAATAATCGATGAAAAATGAGTTTTGGAAAATGAATTATATTTCACATGTTATTTTCATTACATTTGAAGTGTTATGGTGTTTGGGAGAGAAGGGGAAATTTAAAACCATTGACATTGAAAATTTGAAACAGCGGATAGAGCCCTTTAGGAGTTGTGGTATTGAAGTCTTGAAGTGGATTATAATAGAGGAGAGGCGGCCCTTGAGAAAGAGGACAGTATTTACACTATGTTTGGTTCAAGGATTTTGAAATGGAAAAGAAAAGAAAATGAGATGAAAAATAACATTTCTTGTTTGGATAGAGAGGAAAAGAAAAGAAAAGTGGAAGAAAAAAGAAATGAGAAGACAAAATATATTAAGAGGAGGGAAAATCAAATTCCTCTTGGTGAGGAAAATGAGAAAATCATTTTCTTTTCTTTTTCTTCCAAATTCCTTGAACCAAACATAGTGTTAAGGTTTTTCTCTAGATGTATTCTAGAAAGTCTCCGATCTGATGAAGAATGAAGGATGAAGCACTAGGAGAGCTGCGTGTGCCATCGGCCGAAAACAACTTTCCGAATAGAATTGGAAGTCAATTTCTGAATTATGGATAACATTTTCCCTTTGACCCACTCTTGTTCTCCATTGACCCAACTTGGCAAACAATAGAAAATGACTTAGGGGATGTTTGACAACTTTTTAATAGCTAAGTGCTGAACCAGTAAGATTTGCATGCTTTAGAACTTCACAAATAATCGCGCCTTGGTGCAATTTGCAAAGCATCAAAATAAGATCTATATGTATATTTAAAATTAGTTCTAATGTATGTCAACATAAAATACTAATTTAAAAACACTTAAAAGTTAATAAACAATTCCACATTATTATAGTGTAAAATCTTATTTTGCATAGAGTTTACTATCTTCATTTGATTTAGTAAGATTTGTCTAGGAGTTTTATATTCCGTATTAATTAATAATTCTAAAAAGGTTTGTTTTCTCAAAAAAAAAAAAAACAAAGTTCTACACATTTGACTACATGGATAAAAATTGATTTAATGTAAAATATTCTTTTAATCCCATAAGATTTAATTAATTTTTCTCATAATCTAAGATAAATTGTACCAAGATGTAGAGCATTGAATTAAGAATGGAAATTTCTCAAAAGCTTAAAAAATATTCCTTCGTTCATTATTACGAATCAGACCTTGATCGACCCACTAAAGTAAGAGTTTTTTAAAATTTGACACTTTAATTCTAGTTTTTAATGTATAAATTTATATTTTCAGACAAAATTTTAATGATATTGCATAATTATCTTACTTTTTTCTAAAATTTAAGAATTTTTTAAATTTCTTATATTGATTTGTATATCTAAGAAAATTTTTAGGATTTAAAATAGAATAATCTAATAGATTTAATACATATTTTTTGATAATTTAAATCTATTTAATAGTAAAGGTAATTGTTAATGTGAATTTAAAATTTTAAAAAATCAAAGTCATAATCCATTGGATTGACCCGAATCCGATGACACTAGGTCATGAACATACTGTTCTCAATCCGAAACCAAATTGATCCAAACATGAAATAACCCAAAGTCGAATCCGAACCCGATATGACCGGCCATTTTGCCAGCTCTATATAAGAGCATGTCCTTTATGATTGGAAGAAAAGATCAAGATGTTGAAGAAACTTGGAAAATGGAAAAAATTAAAAAAAAAAATTGGAATTCAAGAATTTAAACTATAAAGAAATGCTCTTACGTAGTGTGTTAAGATATCCGTCTAGTTTGTCTTTAGCCAATTGCCCGTATAGAAAATAGCTTGTGTCTCATATAATTTAATTATTCATCTCGAAGCCAAGTCCATACCCAACGGCTCATGACCCTTTATATGTTGGCACTTTTGATCCTTTTTCATTTCCTAGAGTGGGAGAGTCCATTTGCAAGTGGTCAATTGGTTAGATTCAAAATTGTCCGATTGGCCACTTGAGAAAGAGTGTAAAAAAAAATCTCATATCGAAAGTTGAAGAGAAAAAAAAAACAAATTGGTATATAAACTCTTGATTTGAATTAAGTAATCAATTGAATTCAATCTTATAAAGTGAGTTGTCTAAGGAATTCTCTTTTTGAGCTTAGTTAGGAATTAATTTCTTTAGATTTTGAGTCATACTAGTGGTATACCAACATCATTTGTACACCAACAATCTTCACCCCTCATCGTATGTATATAATTTATCCATTCATTACTTTATTTTATCTACACCATGATTGTGTGTTTAAGATAAAGTGGGATACAATTGATATATATTCCCTCCGTTTCTTAAAATCATTCCCATTTTGACTTTGGGCCAAAATAAAAAAAGTGTAATTTTGATTGACTTTTCAATTTTGCATCTGATGTGATGGGAAAAAGTAAGATGTCATAGTTTGGTTATTAATGAAAAAGTATGATGTGATAGGTAGGGTATGAAAAAGTCAGGATAAAAGTAGTTTTTAAATATAAAGTGGAAGTATTTTAGAGAATTAGAAAAAAACGAAAGGGAAATGGTTTTTAAATATAAACGGAGGGAGTATTTTTTAACGTACCTCTAACTTTTTAGATTTTATTTCTTTGCTATGATCATTTTCCGTTGTGGAGTAACGTTCTCTCACTAAATTGATTTATGTCTTTTTTTTATAGCTAAAGAGTTCAACTTTCAATTGGGGCAGTTCTCTTGACATTGCTCAACAATGTCGGGAGATGTCTCGAGAGTTCTTTGTTCTTAAAAATGACAATTCTTGTTCCTTAAGCACTTGGTAGAACCCCCTATCCCGCCTTATTCAAACTCACTTCCACCCCCTTTATTGTACTTGCAAATTTAATTGACTTGAAGTAAGGATTAACTCTAAAATCAAATAAATTTTGGAGTGTAAATGAAGGGAGTGGAGATGAGTTTGGGATGGAGCACGATGAGGGTTTTTTGTAAGAGATTAGCAAGTACTCTCTCCGTCCCGTGAAACCTTTCCCCTTTCTTTTTTTATCCGTCCCACAAAACACTTCTCATTTCTATTAAAAAGTCACTTTTACCCCTTACTTTTTCATACCCTAAGTATCACATCATACCTTTTTACTAATAATCTATCCATCAAATCATACTTTTATCCATCACATCAAAGGACATTTTTGGAAATTCAATACCAAAACACACTCCTTTAAATCCCTCCTAAAAAGCAAATTTCCCATGTTTCACGGGACGGAGGGAGTAGCATGTCCCGACACCGAAGATTCAAAGGACTCAGCCCAAAAAATTAAGTTTTTTAAGTAAATTCTCCCTTTTTCGTTTTTTAATTTCTAACTTTAAATTTAAATGTATTTTTTTATTTTTTTTTGGAAAAAGAAAGACAAATTTTAGTGTTTTTAGAGTGAAAATAATTGTTTTTTTCAATAACCAATAATCCGGTAATAATTATAAAATAAATTATTCTACAAAATAGAACTAATTTATTAACTTCATAACTAACTACATTTTTTTGTAAGTTGCATTTACTGTATTTTTCTGGAGTTGCACTTCAAATTATTTTTTGATACTACATTATTATTATTTCTTAAAAAAATAGCACTACAAAACTTATGAATATTTTTCGATAGTTCTATATAAATATTTTTTGTGAAACAATATTACATTAGTTTTGAAAATAACACAACAATTTTTTTCTCTAAAATAGAACTTTTATTTTTATAACTCACAACATTTTCTGATGTATTGCAATTTTTCATGAACACTCCGAAATATTTATTGATAATCTTATATTGCCAATAAAATTTCCTTTCTAAAATTGAACTACCCAATTTGTGATTTTTTTATAATTCAATACAAATTTTCCTCCAAAATAGTAATTCAAAAGTTGTGAAAATGAAACAATATTTTTTTTTCCTGAAACAGCACCCATAAATTTTATAAATCACTACAATTTTTTTTTGTATTGTAATTTCTTTATTGATCGACACTCTAATAAGAGTGTATTGTTATATTTTTAAAAGTATTAATTTTAAATTTAAAATTAAAAAAGTAAAAAGTAAATTTTTCTAAAATAATCTCATCTTTCATTTATTTACGAAAAACAAGCATTTTCTAAAACTTCGGTTAAGTGGCCGTTAATTTTTTAACGGCGATCCAAAACTCGCACACATGCGAAAATGTGAGATTATTTTCAGTGACAGTTAAAAGTTGGATTATTTTTGAAAGAGCACGAAAAGGTGGGATTATTTGAGATAATTTTTCCAATAATAAATACTAACTAACTAATAATTAATTAAATATGCTAACCACCATACATATCAAGGGCTACGAAGGACAATCATTCTAAGAATCTAAGGACTTGTTATCCTCACGTGATCTGAATGATTCTGATATGAGCTGAACTAATTTCCAGAAAGATTCTTGCATCTAATAAAACAGATTTCTACCTCTTTATTTATTAGATTATGATCCTACTTCAATTTATTTTTTTTAAAGAACAATGGGAGAGATTTTAAAAGAGCTTTCGAGGATGAGCTTCTTTTTTCTTTTTTCAAAACAAAGTGTAAAGAGGAGGAAGAAAACTGGAACTAAAACTCCTCACTGTAATAAACATTCGTTTGCACTCAAATGGAGGTTAGGTCATTAAGATGTTTAGGACTCTGGTTATGTAAAGAAAAGAGGACTTAGTACGTTTTGGCGTGAGCTCCATCTTCTGACACGGACAGTTTATCAAATCTGGGTATACCAGTGTTTGTTTCTTGGCAGGTAGGTTAGGTGGTCGACCCCCTCACTTCAGTTCTGCCTTCTTAAATCCCTTAAGAATCTGGGTATAACCTTCTTCTTCTTCTTCTTCTTTGTTGCTTGGGTGCTTGGTTTGATTCGACAATTCCGGTTCAAAATCGAAAATGGACGGGTCTCTGTAGAGGAGGGAGGGTTCAGAGATTGGATCGGAAATGTCGGTGAAGAGCAGGGGAAAAGAGCACGTCTCACCAAGTTTCATTTCTAGAAAATGGACTCTGTTTCTCTGCTTGGCCAGCTTCTGTGCTGGAATGTTCTTCGCCAACCGGTAAAGATGTTCATATTGAATGAATGAATAAATGTGGGGAGTTTGATTCTCTTTTACTTTTTCCTGTTTGTAACCATTTTTATTGTTATTATTAGTTGTTTTAATCATGGCTCTACTTCAGTTTTCTACTATTGTTTCATTGGCCTCCAATTCCATATTCCATGGCTTGTGTTATAACCATTCTCTCATTTGGTTTCCACAAGAATTTTTGGATCTAATAGAGCATTTCTGGTTTTGGAGGAAGAGCCAAATGACTTCTAGGTAGTGTTTAGGAACTTAGATTTCATTTGGTCTCTTGGATTTCAATGCTAAAAATTTGAAATCTTGAGTTTCTTAGTACAAGGGGGACTAAGTGGATTTGTATCTGATCATAGATGTGGTTATGGTAAATTAATCGTGGTCATGGTAAACATGTCCTTTTGCTAGATGCTCATTGTATTTGCAATTTTTTTCCCATAAAATACCATTAAAATCATGACATTGTGCTCATTAATCCTCGTGAATTTTGAACAAACTGAATTTCGACAGGATGTGGGCTGCTCCCGAGTTTGAAGAGATGATAACAACTGCAGGTGAAGATGAAGGTCTGAAGTTAGTCTCAGATGACTGCAATAAAGAAAATGTGAGTTTCTCATTTACCTAGTTTCATAACAATCCAAGCTGTAGAACCTAGTTAACATGGTTTTTTTATTGACTTCTTGTTATACAGCCAAAAGGTGTGAAGTTGTTGTCTGAAGATATCTTTGGGGAAGTTTTGAAAACACATCGCGCTATCCAGTAAGTTCTGAACTGTTCTATTTAATTTCATGATTTGGTTCCGATTATTGACTCTCTAGTCAATCCCATATTCCCCTTCTTGCAGGACACTAGATAAGACCATATCAAATTTGGAGATGGAATTGGCTGCTGCAAAGGCAACTCAGGAGTCAATTCTTAGTGGCTCTCCAGTATCCGATGACACCGAGAAGACTGATTCATCTAAAACAAGGAAATATTTTATGGTTATAGGAATAAATACTGCATTCAGTAGCAGGCAAAGAAGAGATTCGATTCGTGCTACGTGGATGCCACAAGGTGTTTTTTCATTTGACTCCACAATGTTCTGATCAAATTGTTCTTTTTCATTTTCACAATATTTTGATTTTAGTTTTATTTTGATGCAACCGTATAGGAGAAAAAAGGAAGAAGTTGGAAGAAGAGAAAGGAATAATCATCCGGTTCGTCATTGGTCACGGGTATGGGTCTTGAATTCACTCAAACTTATAACCACTTGTCATCTTGTTGATGTTTTTAGGGAAGGCCTAATGGGAATCCTTCATTTTTGACGCAGTGCAACAATGGGGGGCATACTTGACAGAGCTATTGAAGCTGAAGACAAGACACACGGAGATTTCTTGCGTCTGGCAATACTTTTCAACCAATTTGATTCACATTGTGCTGGTTTTAATTGTTCCAAACGATCCCGGATTTATTTGGCGATTGTTTATGCAGGATCATGTTGAGGGGTATCTTGAGTTGTCTGCTAAGACAAAAACTTACTTTGCCACTGCTGTTAAGTTGTGGAATGCAGAGTATTACTTCAAAGTTGACGATGATGTTCATGTAAATATAGGTAAAAACTCCGTTATACATTCTTGATTTCATTAAAAACTATAATTATTATAGAGTGTTTTTTTATAAATAAAATTCATTGCAGGAACACTAGGAGAAATATTAGCGAGGTACCGCAAAAAGCCACTTGTGTACATAGGGTGCATGAAATCTGGTCCAGTCCTTTCACAGAGGTCTGATTCTACCAGCTTGATCTAGTCAAGTTGTACTGCAAAATCGAAAGCGAGCATTGAATGCAAAGAAATTACTAGGAATTCAGATTTTCAAGTGTTTAGTTAACTGCAAATTCGAAAGCGAGCATTGAACGCAAAGACAAAAATACCCCTTTTGAGGGTATTGAGTTTTAACCTGTTGGTTTTGTTGTTTGATGGCAGGGGAGTAAGATACCACGAACCAGAACACTGGAAATTCGGGGACAGTGGAAACAAGTATTTTCGTCACGCTACAGGGCAAATATATGGGATTTCAAAGGACTTGGCCACATATATTTTATTACACCAGTTAATATTCATCTCTTTTAATATTTTCTTGGTTTTTCCCAATTTCTTGCATTTGCTCCCTCTGTCCCTTAAACAAGTTCCTGTTTTGACTTGCATGGTTTCAATGAATCAAATGCTCTCTAGTGGGTGGAAATTTCAGTTTTACTAAATAAGGAAAGATGATACAGGCATGTACTGCACAAGTATGCTAATGAAGATGTTTCACTGGGATCTTGGTTTATTGGGCTTGATGTTCAGCACATTGATGATAGGAGATTGTGTTGTGGGACTCCGCCCGGTAATGCCTCTCTCTCTCTCACACACTCACACACACACACACACACTCTCTCTCTCTCTCTCTCTCTCATCTGCCTCGGTTTGATACACAGATTGTGAATGGAAGGCACAAGCAGGCAACATTTGTGTTGCTTCGTTTGATTGGACCTGCAGTGGGATATGCAACTCCATTGCAAGGATGAGAGAGGTGCACCAACGTTGTCGCGAGGACAACAATGTCTTGTGGAATGCTACGGCATTCTGACCGGGAAACACAGAGGAAAGTAGCTGTACATGCAATCTTACAAGTTGGTTTTGCAATCTTGTTGCTTTTTTTTAAAAGTGATATCTCCTTACAAAATATCTTTGGGATGAAAATAGAATCTTTACATTGTTTTTGTGTTTCAGAAAACAGGTTATTGCACTTATACTGTTCATAAAGTATAGATCTTTGTCTTGTGTAAATTTTCATATTACAAAGGAAAAGAAACAGACTACATACCTCTCTATATATGTCTTTTTGTTTTTTATAGTTTGATCATTCTTCTTGTTTTGACATGACGCATTAAAATAAAATCCATGGATTGTGGTTTATTTTAAAAAAAAAAATGACTGTAATGTAAATTTAGTTCCTTGAAGGACCATTTGGAATGTGGAAAATGACAATTTGAGAAAATGATAGTCCATTCGTCCAATTTGAACTCTTTACTCTTACGGAGTATAAAAAGACATCATCTTTTATTTCATGATTTCTTTTGTTGGTGTTTGGTGAGGCCTAAAAAGAATTCAGATTCAATATATCCAAATATCACGAATCCTCCAAGTAAAGGATTTTGACGTTTTCAGAATTCAGGAGATATCAATATGATAATTTAAAATCTTCCTTAACCGTCAGACCACCCACCACTAATTATCCTTGCCACTGTCAATCCCCACATTGCCTGTCACTCTTGTCTATCATTAATTAAACTATAATTTCAAATATTTTCAAATAACTTCATTTTAGAATTCAAAACTCTTATTTTTTCTTCCAAATTTTAAACTATATTTCATATCATATTCCAAAAATCAACACACAATGTAAAATAAAAAGTATTTGATTGTCGATCCTTTTCCTTTAGGTGCAATAAATTAAAGAGAGTAAAGAAGTACTAAAAACTTGTTTGGTTTTAGCAATGATATTTACGAGTTTGTGCGACATTGGACAATTTTTTGTCATGGCAAAACAACCAAGCATTGGAATCGAGAATCGCCAAAGACCTTGTGGTTAAAGAACATTACCGTGACTAACAAATAGGAGGTGACATGTTTGAATCATGTTGGAAGCATTGACTTTTCGTGCTTTAGTAGTAGGTTAAGAAAGTAAGTAGAATTGGATACTACATTGTGAATAGAGTCAATAAAATATAAAAGAAGAAAAAAAGAGTAAGCAAGTATCAACACACAAATACACTGGCCCTGTAAACCTCGGGGGTATAAAGGGTATTATCATAAAGCTAATGGTTTCACACAGTTGGCCAACATGGAGATGTCAAAAGATCAATTCTACAGCACCAGAAGTTGTGTTGTACTACTAAGGCACACACAAGGCAATATATTTACTTCTTGGCGTAAGTAATGAGCATAGCATTGTCACCCATGATCTTGAATCCCTGGAGCGCCTGGGATGCCATGGTGGACTGCATCTCGTCCCCAAACTCCACGAAGGCAATCCCGGGTTTTGCTTCCACCATCCGGACTTCCTTGAATCCGGGATACTGAGAGAAGAGCATTTGGAGCATCATGGGTGTCGTTTGATGTGGAAGGTTCTGGACAAACAATATCTTGTTTGGAGGAGCAGGCGCCTCCGGTACTGCAGCACCCATCCCTCCACCCATATTATAGGGCATATGTGAAAGCTGCTGATTATATATTAAGGTGAGAGAGATTGAGAGATTGAGAGAGAAACGAGATCATACTGTATTCTAATGAACAAAGGTAGATATCATGATAATTCAAGCAGAGTTAAGGTCAAATGTATGCAATTTACCCCATGTAAAAAACAGAGAGACTGTTTCTATTCAATGGGTCATTTTGATTTTAGTCCACTATGTCCTCCAAACTAAGGCATTATCAATGATGACTCTTTTAGCTTCATTGGCAATGGATGGAGGTAAAAAGCACTTGAAAAGATTCAGAAGAGAAATGCTTACTGGAGGGGCTACACCATAAGCACCAGCATAAGCAGGACTCATGCCCATTCCAGCTTGATTAGCAGCATCGTGGTGCTCCTTTTTCTTCTTTCCTGCTGGAAGAAAAGGGAAAGGAAAAATGTTGGAAATAATGGAAATGGCAGAACTTAAGGATTTTACGTATACACTCCCTCCTCCAAGAGAAAGTTACACTTTGGCTTATAGAGTTTAAAAAAAAGTCTAGAGAAGCGAAAAAATGTGCGGTTGTAGTTTATGGAGTATTTAGAAGGTATAGAAATGATGCAAGCCAGTAAATGTAACTTCATTTTTGGGGACGAAAGGAGATTTGTCAAACAGCCTAAAGGTATTACCTTTGTCTTCATGCTTCTTCCTTTTTTCTCTAGGTACAAAAGTACCATCTGCCTTTGCCACAACGTCTGATTTTGTTTTTGCGAATTGTATCTTCTGTGAAAACAAAAAATTATACCGAGTTATGCATTAATATAATAAACCAAAAAATTATAAGATGAACAAAACAGGGGGTGTACAGAGGCCAGAGAGACAAAACAAGTGAAATAACAATTTCAACCCTGTATACGTGTATTTCTCACAAATTGTGTCAAAATATAGACGAAGATGAAGGGTAAATGTAGACAAACAAATATTGAGCAAATTGCTAATAAAACAAATCCATCTACCATATACAAAATTGTAAGGTAACATTTTACTAAACTATTATCAGTGCAAATATTAGTGTCTACTTGTATTTGTTTCATAAACTAGCAGTCTCAAAATTCCGAATAAACACCAGCTACTTCAGACCGTGAGTATAAAGAAATGTGTGTCAAAAAAGCATTAAATTATTACCATTGGCTTATCATAGAATGGGAACCCATTCATTTGGCGAAGAGCATTGGTCGCAAATGAGACATCCTCAAAAACTACCCATGCTTGACCTTTATGTTTTAGGGTTTTGAAAGCTAAGACCTCCAGAATCTTCCCAAATTGAGAGAACACGGCCTGTAGCGACTTCTTCAACTCTAAAACAACAATCAATAATCAATTATGAACAATCAAATCAATATAGGGACATAATTTTTTTTTCTTGCGGGGGTACCATCAAGCTTGATTTTCTCATTGAGGTTGTTAATGTAAATTGTCTTGTTTGGAGGAATATCACTAGCAGCTTGGGTAACCTCTGCCATTGCTGGAATGCTGCAACTTTTTTGGCGTCGAAAGCTCTACCCAAGTTTGGAGCTCGAAAAATCTCAAATCCGTATAACGATCTATACAATAACTTAAATCCCCTTGCTAATTTCACCTGAGTGAAAAAACAGTAACAAAATTAAAAGTAGGCCCTTGAGTAAAGAAGCACCCATGCTGAAACTTCTGCTCTATCAAATTTTGATAACTTTAATTCATTTAAGGTTTTTGTTGTTTCCAATAAGATGTACAATGAGAGCAGTTCCTGTAAAACCCTAACTAGCAATAATTATAAATCAATAATTTGGTTGTTTCAAATACTTGCTCCCTACAAAATTCGAACTTTTCAAAATTTATCTCCACTGAAAGAATGGATGTTTAAATCAGTAATTTAAAACCACATATTTATTAATGCTATGCACAATATAAAAATTAAAACACATACATTTAAATGCAACACAAATTAACAAACGAAACCCAATTATATCCCACGAGAAGGTATATTTTAGTGTAATAGTATTGCACACATCGAAACGAATAAGAAAAACACAGATTTAAAATGAAAAAACAAAGGACAGCTGAATGAAACAATGAAAGAAATAACAAAAACACATAATCAAACTAAAAATTAATAATTAACCCTAGACTTTAAATCCAAAGAATGAAACAATGAAAGAAAGAAAACTAGAAAAAAATTACTAAATTGGAAAGATAGTGGATACGAAGTACCTGGAGGGTGGGGCGGCGCCTGGCGGCAGCGGCGGCGGCGTCTCTCTACCGGCGTCGTTATCAGCAGTCGGCACTCTCTTTCCGATTCGGTTTCGGCAGTAGTTGTAAGGGATGGGGCGGCTAATGAGATGGGCTTTTGACATATTGGGCTGGGTACTGGCTTCATATATACATACATATAATATTTAAAAATAATTGGGCTCTTCACAATCATAGGCCCAGTCCGGATGAACTGTTTGTCCTTCTATTGGGCCGGTAATAGACTTTGGTGAAAGAATTGAAGATTGTGTATTTTTGTTTGTCAATGGTACATTTTAAAAAGCATGTAGTTTACCATGGAGCAATTTTTAAAGTTGGTAGTGCAATTGACAAAGTTTGATTTAGTTACAAATCATGGGTGGCCCGAAAGGTGTGCAAAGTGGCCAACCGCACAGGGTCCATAAAATTTTAGAGCCCCATATTTTTAAATTTGTTAATAATTTTAAAGCAAAAGTATTCGAAAAAATGAAATATGGCCCAAAATGTAAATTTTAGACCGGGCCAATTTTATTTTTTCATTTTTCGGGACCGACACTATTACAAATAACCACCGTATTATTTATAGTATTTTCTTTTTTTCAAATTTTTATAGCACTTAGATCTCACATCTTAAAGCACCATATAAAATCTTATTTATTTCATAAGATTTTATTCTCACTAATATATATATATATATATATATATATATATATATATATATATATATATATATATATATATATCTAGGTTCTGGTGAGATTGCGATCTTATGAAAGAAATAAGAATAAATCTGGTGCTTTAGATTGTGAGATCTAAGGGTCGGGATTGCATCAAAATTAGGTGCACCAAAATGGTTTGAAAATGCATAATTTCGAAATGCACCAAAATCCTTTGAAAATGCACTATCTCAAAATCTGAGTGCAGGATGCAATCTGAGCCGCATGATACATCAGATCCAAAGATTAGATTTTATTCTTATTTTTTTTATCAAGGTGCATTGTCACCTGAACCGGCATATATATATATATATATATATATATATATATATATATATATATATATATATATATATATATATATATATATATATATATATATATATATATATATATATATATATATATATATATATATGCCGGTTCAGGTGACAATGCACCTTGATAAAAAAAATAAGAATAAAATCTAATCTTTGGATCTGATGTATCATGCGGCTCAGATTGCATCCTGCACTCAGATTTTGAGATAGTGCATTTTCAAAGGATT